AGCACCTAGATTCAGGCTGATTGGAAGCCACCCTCAAGAAGCACTGTTAGAAGTATGTAAACATATATAGTCCTGAGGGACCAGGTAAAGCAAGTTTTCAGTCATTTTTTTTTTTTTTTAAATAAACTTTAGACTTCTCTCTTCCTTTTCCTGGAAGCCCTATAATGGGTATATTGGTCCTCTTTATGGTGTCCCAAAGGCCTTTAAATCATTTTTACTCCTTTCATTCGATGAATTCTACTGACTTGTCCTTGAGTTTGCTCTTTCCCTAGGCCTAGTTTGTTGTGAGGCCCTTTATTGAATTTTTCAGTACAGAATTGTATTCTCCTGTTCTGTGACTTCTTTCCCCCTCTCCCCCCAATTTTTTATTGAAAACTAGAGGCCTGATGCATGAAATTTGTGCAAGGGGCTCAGCTCCTGCCACTGCAGTGGCTACCTTGGCCCTCACACCCCTGGCTTCGTCTGGAAGGTCATCCTGAAGGATGTCCGGTCTAATTAGCATATTATGCTATTATTATAGATTCTCACTTCGTTCATGCATTGTTTTCCTGACCTCAGTGAACCTTTTATATTATTTTGAACTCTATTAGGTAAATCACTGTCTCTTTCATGAAGATCTGTTTCTGAATGTTTACCTTGTTCTTTAGTGTATAACTTATTCCTGTTGGACTTTGTGTTAGTTTCTTGCATTAGATGAAACAGCCATGTCTTCCAGTCTTGACAGAGGGGTCTCATGTAGCTGAACCATTCGCATCAATAAGCTTGGCCCAAGCTCCTAGTGTCCTTGAAACTTTTGTGACTGTCCAAGCTGCCTTGTTTTCAGTGCTGCCAGTAGTTGAAGGTGTGCCTAGGTCTGTCAGCGATTGTCCCAAAAGGAGGATCACTGTCAAGGCCTGATTCAGGGTTGCTGAGAGCTGACGCCTCAGGGAGCAGCAGGAAAAGTATGAATTTAGGCCTTCCAAGACCAAGGAGGGAGGTGGGGATTTTGTCTGCTTCCTCTGATATGGCCTGGGTCTATAGCAGTGAGGTGTGTGTGTACTCACATGTGCACTCCTGAGCTGGTTAAGAGCGAGCCTGTATCTGCTACAATTCTGTGGGACTTCGAATCAAGGCCTCCTGCCTGTCAGTCATGTGACCTGGAAGCCCTTTCCTTAAGCAACAGCCACAAGAACTGTATCTCAGATTTGTAGTCAAGCTCTTCAGGGGGGAAACTGGAGACTTTGCACAAACTCGAGGGAGAGGGCTAGAGTTCCTTCCCCATGGGCCTGGGTGTGGGCTTTATGGCGTGACAGCCTTTTGTGTTTTGATGTCTTTTCTTACTCTCCCAATGTGTAGGAGCCACACAGCTAGTCTCTGGATTTCTTTCAAAGTTAATTGCTCCATGTTATAGCTCCATTTGGGGTGTCCGTGGGAAGTGGGAGTCCAGAAATCTGTCATCGTCTTTGCAGCCCAGGTAGAAGGAAGATTAGGTACTGTCAGGGAATATTCAGATTCAACTACTACTTTTAGTCTCTGTGCTAATTTGCACCCCACTCTGTCAGTCATATTCTGAAAATTCCTTTTCTAATATGAATCCCTTGCTTGACATATTTTACACTAGCCACCACTTATCAAGCGCCACTGTTTTAGGCACTGTTTCATGTAATCTTTATAAGGCTCCAAGTTCTGTACCAATAGCTCCAATTTATGGTTGAGTAAATGGAATCGCAAGGCAACCCTGGTCCATTTACTGCAAATATATTTACTTCTCACTTGACCAGTCTTTCTCACATCAGATACTGGTGGTAGACTGTTAGGAATCACTTCAAAACACACAGTAAATAAGATATCAGTGGTGGGAGATCCATTACTTCCTAAACCCTTCTGCCCATGCAACCACTCACCTATTTTGTTCTGAAGAAACATCTGCATGTATTTCTTAAACCTTCCTGGGTGATTTTAAAGGGCAGCAAGGTTGAGAACCTCTGCTATACATGACCTAGGCTGTCATCTTCCATTTTATTTTATTCAGTGTCTGGTCTTGCCTTATCTTGAATGTGTCTGGCCTACACATATGTCCCCGTTTTTGCCATACCCATTTCTTTCTTCTGAAACACTTTCCCTTTGTACATCCTTGTTTAACATTCACGTCTGCACAGAACTTTGCTTTCTAAATGAGGCTTACTCTGACCACCCTATTAGTACTGCAAACTATCATTCAATTTTGACTTATGCTTATCGTTTGTAGAGTTTACATTCTATAGCTTGGAAACTAACGATGGCAGAGAACCTGGCTTGTTTTTGTGCATCCTTAGACTCTAAGCACCTCACATAGGTTTAGGACTTTTAGTGCAACACTAGTCACCTATAGCGAATGAATATTTGAAATGTGGTTAAATTGGAGTTATAAGACACTGGAGATGTGGCAAGTAAAGGAGCTACTCACCAAGAAGAGGCATTAGGTAAGTCTGAAGGACTAACCAGAATTATTTTAGATGGACTGAAGTGCCATGTCATCCCTCCATGTGGAGACATACCCTAGGATTAGAAAGATTAAGAACTTGACCTGAAAAAAAGTACGTAATCACTTGTCATACAAAGGTTAGCTGCTTTTAAAATTCTTTTCATTAGCTCAAAGGATTTCACAACCCTTGGAAATAGAAGTGACTTGATTTTCATTTTATCTTAGAAGTAGTCCCAGATGGAGGATAAAGTTTGAGTTTGAGACTTCAAAATCAAGATGAGAAAGTTTCCAGACCTCTGGCCCACTCCGCATTCTACTGCACCCTTTGGCAGCTGTTTAAGGACGTTAAGACAGGATTCTACTCTCCAAGTAGCTGTCTAGGCTTTTAAGTCCTAAATCAAACACTTATGGTTCTACTGTATCTAAAAGGAAACCCATTTCACTTTACTTACTATGCTGAGCCATAGTTCAAATCTCAGCAAAAGCCTTTTATCTGAGAATCCTTTCTGGACTACTCTCAGGAATTTTGGCATACTGCGTTCTAGGCTTCTAACCTTTCCAGATTAGATTTTAATTCTTTACTACGATTCTTTTGCCATAGGTGGTGAGCCCTAACCTAAAATCTTTGGATTTTAAGATAATTGGTACTTAGTAAACAGTTTTTCTTGTTACAAACAGCTCCAAGTGTTAGTTGTCTCAAAACTCACAGTGGGGAATGAGGCAAGTCCTAAGCTTGAATATAAACTTGGGTTTATTCAAAGTTACTGAGTGCCCTGGCTTTCAGTAAGTAGGCTTTAAAATGAACTCAGGAAATCCCCAGAACATGCTTTTCAGCTAAATTTATTTAGAAGCCCAAGTACACCTATAGGCATGTCATAATTTCTACGTACTTAGGGGTGAACAGCGATATATCTGTGCCCCAAAGATTCTTCAGCAGCATCCATTTGTTGGTCAGGTCTTCTATTAGACTAAATATGAAATCCATTTACTATTTGCATGGATAATTACTCCTTACCTTCTTCTGTTGGCCTTGTCTAGAATACTTTCTTTCAGCAGTGTTTTCCATGGGCACACCACCAACTGTATAACCAATACCTCAAAGACTTATAGCTTATAACACAACTTTTATTAGAAAAGTTATACATAACATAGCATCAACTATTTTCAAGAACAATATTAAACCCAATAAAGCAACAAAAACCAGACTAACAAAATGTGTAACAAGAAACTAATGACCTTTCTATAATCAAACATTCAATTATCTACAATGTCTTTTTACAAAGGGAGAAAAATCAATGGTTTACAGGCATATTATATTGAAAATGAAGCTGCAATAGCAATTTTATACAATTACCATTCTCAAGAAAATGAATAATCAAAACAGTGATTACGCGTTCACAAATTTAAAACATTTCACTTAGTTTTTAAATTACTGGGTACACACCGAAGTCTGAATTTCAAAAGTGATTTTTCCCCCCCACAAAAGTGCCACCACTTAAGCTAGAACTCTGTGTAATTTTCCCCTAAAAGTTAAGACATTTTGATAATGATTAAGTCACATGATTTCTGGTGCTATCTGGTCTGTTAATTATAAAACCTTTACTGGATGTTTTTCTTAAATTATAGGGAACTGGATACAGGATTTCTGTTGCAAAGCTATTAAAGTTCCAAACACAGAGTGTACAGCGTTGGAAAAAGAGGTCAGTAATAAAACTTATAATAAATATCAGAGAAGCCATTAGTTTTTACAGCATTATCTGCTGAAAGGTTAAGTCAATCAGGCATGATTTCCCATCAGTCTTGTCCTTTCAGTTGGTATAGCAATTTCTATTTTCATGATCTGAATACTTCAACATACCTAAACATCTTTTTTAAAACTTTGATTTTTAGCTCCTGGAAACTCATTCTACTCTCTAAAAGTCTATTTCTGCTCATTTTAGAGCCTCACTAAAACAACCTATTTCAGGATAGTAAGGTTCATTAAAATGATTCATGGAATGCTTTTAAAATAGTTCTATCCTTTTGTAACTAAAGGGGATGAGTTACAACACAATTCCACACACACCCTTGACCATAATGGAATTACACTTATTACATATCTTGAGGACAATCTGTTTTGGGCAACATCCCAAAGAACAGTGGTTACCAAGATTGTCAGTGTTACTGATGGGAAAAGGGAAATTCTTTCTAGGATTCGCACCCTAGTTCAGACATTTTTCCTGACAAGCTGTCCTTTCCAATGCAGTAATGGAGAACAAAGATAAAAATCCTGACTTTTGACAGCTATTCAACATTATTCATGCGCCAATATTGCACACATATATATTCTGAACTATTTAATCTTGGGTGCTTGTTTTCTCCATCAGAACACAACCCACACAAGCAGTTTCCCTTAAAGATGAAACTGATAAATTTAAAATACTGGAAAAAATAAAAATGCAGAGACTTTGTACAGACAAAAATCTGAATTTCTTAAAGGGTTTTGTGTGCCCTACACATTGGGGGCAATTTTTATACACTAGTGAAATGAACACTAGCTACAATACTTCTAAGCTGCTCAAATAATGTGGAACCTTGGTCCAGGTGTTGCAATGATGTCACTGTATGGTTCTTCCTGTGTCAGCTCAATAGCTTGCTGCTTTTTAAGAACCAAGAAACTGTAGAATTTTGCCGCAGCTTGCTTTCTGTTTGTGTTTCGACATAACTCAAGCAAACTGATAGATTCAGCTCCAGTTTTAGCAAGAGCTCGCTGGAAAAAAAAAAAAAGAATTTAAAATAAAAGTAATTTGTATAATCACATGCTATTTGGAGATACTGGAAAAAGTATACTGTAATACTGTATATTCTGTTGGGAGGCTGGGAGAAGACTGAATAGTAAAACTGATTCTCACATCAATCAAGAAGGTGAAAAGAAAGTTGATTATGGTATATATAAAATCATAAATCCAATAAATATTAAAATGACTCATTTGGACATCTAATGTGATACAATAATAAAATCTAGCACTTCTATTTCAACTGATTCCAACTATCCTCTGAATTTATTTTGGGAAACCATGAGCAACTTTCCTGGTATGTCATAGATGCTTAAGTTATCTTATCTGGTATTTAGGCCCAAGGGAAGTGACATTTGACATTATAACAATTTGACAAATTGAATTATTGAGATTAAATTTGCTCAACCAAAAATGACACACAAAGGTGTACCATAAATCACCATCACAATTCTGCTTTGTAATCATAGAAAAGTAACAGTTTAAAATAGGCATTCTAGTTATAGCATGTAACTTTTTTTTGAGGGAGTAATGGAACAAGTGTCTCCTGAGGATTCTAAGATTGCCCTGGCATACCTGAAGACCATGAAGCATCTGCTGAGTTCTTTTGTTCCATCTTCTTTCTTCTTGATCCTGATCACCCCCTGGAATATCTTCTTCCTGAATGAAGATGACCCCACAAGTAAGCTGATAAAAATCTGCTACAAAATGAAATTTCTATTTTTGTATTTCTTGAAAGCTCTAAATTTCTATATTAAAATATAGAAAATTATATTTGATCCTGCTGAAAAATCACTTAAATCTATTGTGAAGTCTGAAGTCTGTCTTTAATTACAAAAAGTCCTCTGTACCTGCGAGCAAACATTTGGCTGAATATGAGATTCTGTACTGGTCTATAAAGATGTACTCTATACAACATGGTCCATGGACTACTGCTGGTTGGTTATTTGGCCCCTTTTGAGATCAACATCATATTGTGTCTTATTTTTTGGACCATGATATTCCAGGTGACTTACAATCTGGCAGGCTCCAAATCTCATTTATACTGGTCCACAGACTAGCAAAGGTGAGTAAGTAGTACTTAGTTTATATGGTATTTTTTAAAAGAAGTGGGCTATGACACATTATATATATTTTACCTTTGAGCCCCCTATCTCCCAGGATAGACTATCACCACGTCCCAAAGAGTCAGAAGTGAACAGCTTTACACGTAAGAGGAAGCACAATGACTTTTACCTCAGACTTAGCAACAATGTAGTGCTCATATTAAATCTTAAGCAGTGAGTGCTAATGAAATGTATCCAATTTATAACTTTTAGTCTTGGAAGAAATTTAAAAGCTTCAATGCCACCTGGAAGGCATTTAAAATAAAGGTCTAAATAAAGTTCTTGATGTCAAATACTTTAAGAGCCAAAGCATACCCCAGGAAAAAGAAATCCATTCCTAAAGCATCTCTATACTTTTAAAAAATAAGAGTCATTCTAGCCTTCACTCAAAGACACATCTTACTCCAGTCTAATAAACACAAAACACACATGAAAAATAATTTGATGTTCTTAATGATGAATTAGATCACTAAACATTGGTTTAAAATTTGCTTATGTTTAAACATGTTTTCATCACTCTAATGCTCAACATCAATGAATTTATTAATCTCTAATATGAAAATTAAAAAAGCTGGAAGATTTTTGCTAAAGGTGGAACGGGATTTTTCAAAATATTACCTCCTCCTCTTCCTCTTCTTCTTTCTCCTTCTCTTTCTCCTTCTCTTTCTCCGGGAGAAGCTCTAACTCTGGAATTAATTGACAGATATTTGGAGGCTCTTCTGGAGGCAGTTCTACAGGAGGTATTTCCATCTGCTCTACTTGCTGAGGCTTAAAACAATAAAAATAAGACAATTTAAGATGCACATTTTAAGGGTGGCTTCTTTTAAATTTGCTCAAGTTTTTAAGAAGAAAAGACTAGGGCAATATTGCATACTTCCTAACAACCAAAAATTGATTATACAGGGTGGAAGCAAAAGTAAGCTTGCAGTTATTCAGATGGAAAAGAATACAAAAATAAACTTCTCACACACAAGTAAAGCTTCAACATTAAAATATTGTAGTTTACAAAAGAAACAAATCCTTTACCTTATTATACTAGAATAATATATTAGAATAAGTGTTTTTTATACTTTTTAGGAGTAAAAAACTTCCACAAGTCTATGGTTGTTCTTATTTGCAAATTTCTCACATCAATGGTAAACATCCTCAAAACTTTCTGTAGTAGTTGCCGAAACTGGTTTGGCTCAATGGATAGAGCGTCGGCTTGGGGACTGAAGGGTCCCAGGTTTGATTCCGGTCAAGGGCATGTACCTTGGTTGTGGGCACATCCCCAGTAGCGGGTGTGCAAGAGGCAGCTGATTGATGTTTCTCTCTCATCAATGTTTTTAACCTTCTATCCCTCTCTCTTCCTCTCTAAAAAAATCAATAAAATGTATTAAAAACAAAAACAAACTTTCTGTAGTAACATTTTAGGAAAAAACACACAAAACAGTACTTAATTCAGGGCAGTACAGAAACCCTTCAATTAGCCTACTATCACCATTATGCACACAATTGCTTTAAGGCTTATCCAACTAAATTGGGCTCTTAAAAAAAAAGCTTTGAAGCTCTTACAGCAGCAAATAGAAAAGAGATAATTTTGGAGGTCCATCTCCTTTAAATTTCCTTCCTCTCAGGCTTTAATATAAAAAACAAAACAAATCTGTAACCAAAGGAATGTCAAGGAACAATTACCAGGAGAGGTACTAGAATAATCGATTCACTTAGATGTTACTATTCTGAGCTCAGAGAAAAATGCTCTTTTTAGACAACTTCTTACCACCAGAGGGCAGAGAACTAGTTCTTAAAACTGGCAAGAGTATCTTGTTAATGACTCTTGATGGAGGCTGAACCAGATTTATTGGTTCTATGAACTTAAGGTTGAGAAGTCTTAAACCTGACCTTACTTTCTTTAGTTTTCTTATCCTTAGTGACCCTAATGGTAGCTAGTCTGAATGAAGTAGCCAGATGTTAATTTGCTTTTTTCAGCAATTTGAAAGTATACTGATTATTTAATATTTAATGGGTCATTTAATAGCCTAAAATTGCCTACTATTGGAAATACACAAGAATATTTGTTAAAGATTAAACCAGAACCCGAAACAGAATAGTGTCCAGGAATGAACCAATACATACCCAGTCAATTATTTTACAACAAAAGAGCCAAGAATATACAATGGGCAAAGGACAGGCTTTACTGTAATCATTCAATAGCATGTATCAATTCATTGTTTCTCACCTTAAACGAATACAATGTTAATTACTTCTCAAACTGGAGCAAGTTAGATCTTGCTCAAAGCAAAATAAAAAAGAGGTCAGATGCCTGACACTGGATAAATGCAGCCTGTTCACAGTTGGCCTAGAATGTACAAAAATTTTGTCTAGCAGAAAGTTTGTTTTATTTTACTCACAAAATACTTAGTACATGTAGAATTTTACAGGTTCAATATACTGCCTTTCTTGTTTTATCTAGAATTATCAGGTTCACCCTGGAGTAATATTTGAGAGAGAAAAGTAAAACCAGAACCAAAGTCAGGGTCAAGGGTGGTCACTTTAGGCAATGCTGAAGCAAGACTATCCAAGAAGAGACAGAAAGACTGAAATTCCCTACGGCATCTTCTCTCACTTAAGGCACATTGTGCTCATACCCTTGGCTGCCATTCTTCCTCTTTGGACCCAGGCGCCTTTGTATTTTCTGCCTAAACCAAGACACTTTAAAAGGGCTGCCTCAATAACACTCGCTAATACTAGGGATTTAAATGAGAACACCCCCTATACATAAAACATTTGATGGAGATGTGCTTACTTACAGGGATCACAGGCTCTGGGTCAATTTGTCCTGCTTTCCGCTTAACTCCCTGAGGTGGTGGGGGAGGCATGGCCGACTCATCCACATTTGTTCGGCTGGTCTCCATCACTGACTCCTGGAGGCGGCTTGGCTCTTCCAAAATGGGCTCATCTGCAATTGGCCATACGGAAAGACTAAGGTCAGTCTTGACCCATTTACTTTTAATACAAAGATGTATTTCTCTAATGGAGATGCCATATAAAATTTCCTTCACAAAGATTACTCAATTTGTAATACACTTAAAGGTGGGAACGGACCTTAAGTCCCACCTCCAGTTCAATGCAAGATAATCCTTTAGCAGACTATCACACAGCCAATCATGAAAACAGAAAGCATCATATCTAACAAAGCAATCACAATATAGTAAGGCAAGTATTTCCCTGTCCAAAAATGTTGAGTATATTATCTTGTTCATAGAATTGTCACTAGGGAACTACCACAAAAGAACAGACCGATAACATCACGTTGCTGCTGCTGTTGCTGTGGCTGTTCCTCTCTGGGAACCTCTGGATTTTCAAATTCTTTGAGGAATTCATCCAAATTATCAGCCTCTCCTCCTTTCCTCCTTTTTCTAAGATCTTCTGGAACTAGAGGTGTAAGACAGCGTGTAAAAAGCTATAAAAAAATTAAGTGAAAAAAGCCAATCATAAAATAAGCCATATTATTAATGCAAAAGCCGACATTTCTATTTTCCATAGTTTTAATATAGTTGTAATCAGTGTATATACAAACATATTCATAGTTCATACCATCTTAAAATGATTTTAAATACAGGCTTTAAAATTATAACAAATTTTTTAAAACTTCAAAATAAGTGAAAATTTTAAATCCAGTGTCTTGTAACTCAGATATAAAAGATAAGTTTTCGTTTATTTGTTTAAGTTTATTTTCATATGGATACTCAATCCAACTGGAATTATATCAAACAACTTTAAATAGTACTTTATCACCTATCATTTTAACAAAATATTCCATTGAGGAGATATATGTTTTATTTCTCACTTCAAACATTTTTCAACATTTTAAGTTTCTTTTTAAAAAATTAACTAAGCAACAATGTAATTAACATCTTCAAAGAAATGGCTTTTCCATATTTTGAATTACTTCCTTAGAAAAAACTCCTGTAAGAAGACCAAGTCAAAAAATAAAAAATATAAATTTTCCAGATGAAAATTTTATAGGAGCATGCTTTCAATAAAAAGCAGTTTTACCATTGTCTTGCTGCTTTGAAGCACTTTACATTTAGAATACAATGAATAAAGTACAATCAGTTGGTTCTATGCATATTTCAACCTTACTAAGAATAACCACCTATCAACACTGCTCTGTCACTCATTAGATGCCCCAGAATCTTGTTTTGGAGTACTGAGTACTTTGGAACCTAAAGTGAACAGAGAGGGCCTCTTTTCATAAAACCAGTAGAAAAGGTATAACTATTGCATGGTTTTAGCCAGAAAGCAACATCTAAAGATTGCAGATTTGAAGCACAGTGCACAATAAAGCAACAGAACTAATAGTTTATCAGAGGAGACTGAAGAACTATTAAAAAGGCCAGTAGCTTTTGTATAAGTAATATTTATTCTACATCTTTTAGAAATGCATGTGTCACTCATCATGTTTCAGATCAAGGTAAGTTCAGTATATTGTGATTTAAAAAAGGAACCATATAATTGAAAAATACTTGATCAAAAATTATTCGAACAAAGGTTTTGAAAGTATTTTTAAGATTAGTCAAAATGTATATGAAATAATAAATTCTGCAAACGGTATTACCTTTAGTAGTCTGTTATTCCATAAAGGCTGGGCAGGTAAAGAGAAGAGTTTTTCCACTCCCCCAGTCTCTTTCCACATCATCAATTTCTTGGTGGGTGGTGCCAGATCCAATGTTGTAACAATGTCAGAATAGTCACTAAGTTGGGCTCTAATGGTCTTACTATCCAACTCTTTGACACTGTCAACAATTAACTTCCTCTTTCTCTTGGCTTTTGTTTCTTTGACTGAAATGAAAAAGAAAAGAAAATCATTTTCCCAAGAAGGCAGCAAAAAAGCACATAGTGCCCAGACTTGGTCTCATTATATCCCTTGCTTTTCTACAAACCCACTAGAAAAGTTAAACCTCATGAGGGCAGAATCTCTTTCTTTTAAAGGTTTTAAAATTGATTTTTAGAAAGGAATGGGAGGGTGGGTAGAATGTTAAGGTGAGAAGGAAATAGCAATCTGCTGCTTCCTGCACACTGCCTACCAGAGACCAAGCCAGCAACCTGGGTAACACCAGCAAGGGTCAGAATCTTTAATTAGGTTTCCCAAGCACTATGCAGAAAAGAGGCTGGCATGCATTAGGCGCTCAGTAATAATTTTCTGAATAAATGAATATGGATTTAGTGCAAAATACTAAATTCAAGGGCCAATACACTAATGCATGTAACTTTATACAGTAAACATAGAACATATCACACTTAGGCTCAAGTTCTAAGTTGCCTTATTAGTTGAGTGAAGGTTGAATTCAAAGTAAGAGAAGCTGACTTCATCTTGCTTACCTCTTCCTTTTCTTATTTGCAATATGGCCATCCACTTATAAAGGTTGTGCAATCCTTAAGACTGTTGGGCATAAACTGAGTCCATAAATGGTTGCAATTACTAGGATTTTTATTGGAAAAGTTACAATTCATATGTGGCTGTTGTACAAGCAGCCTGATGAAGTGAAACAAGCCCAAACCCAGTCAGATGCACCTGGAACTCTATCACAGACATGTATATTAATTTCTAAACCTTACTAGAACTGTAAAGAAGATATAGCATTACCTCAATTTTGAAAGGTAATGACAACAACAAAAAAGGCTCTTGGGATTAAGTAAATTCATTAAGATTTTATCTTGTCATACATGTTATATCCCATAGGTTTTATTTTTTTAAAATCCTCACTTGAGGACATGTTTTTATTGATTAGGGAGAGGAAGAGAGAGAAACTAGACATGAGAAACCGACTGGTTGCCTCCCGTATACAGCCTGACCAGCAATCAAACTCAGGACCCTTCAGTGCATAGGATGATGCTTTAATCAACTGAGCCACCCCAGTCAAGACCCCCACAAATTTTTATATACAATTATTTATGTGGTTTAAAATTCAAAGATGTTATTGACAAGCCTTTGTCTACCCTGTCTTCCAGCTACTCAAGAGTTCCTTTCCCTAAAAATCAAAGTTCAAATTCTTACAACAGCATTTTATACACTGCAGTTTACCTCCTTTACCTCATTTAATTTTCTCTGTAATATCTGTCACTAATATAGTAGATCCACTGAATCAGGACTATCAGGCCCACCATCCACTATTAAGAGGTTAATCTTGTTCTATTTAAAAGTAACAACTTATCTTGAATATACTGTAACTGATTTCAAGTATTCTATCCCATTGTACCCATAAACGACCTACAAATTTTAAAATTTCACACCCAAATTATGTATCTCAAACTGCTTCTTTCAGAAACAGCAGGCTGGTGTCCCCCTCCCCCCACTGTTTTCTTATGTTTCTTATATAATGAGTCCTGATGCACTAAAATCGTGCAAAGGGCTCGGCCCCACCCACAGTGGTGGCTGCCTCTGCCTTGGCACTTGCAGCCCCACTTTATCCGGAAGGACATCTGGTCTAATTAGCATATTATATGCTTTTATTATATAGGATATTCTTATATAATTAGAACACTGCTTTTAGAACCTCTGATAGTTCACATTTAAAAAGAAAAAAAGTATTTTTAGGTTTCCTAGATTGTAGCCCACCTGCATAAAACTTTGGAAGATTACTGATTAGCCAGTCCTGTATTTTACTGTAAAACACCTGTTTCCTGTTACACATGTGACCTGCTAGCATTTTGAAAATCCAAGAAGACTATATAATTAGCAGAAAACTTATTCTATACTTTATATTTCAGAGCAACTTGCAAAAACTTTCAGATACTCAAATTATATTTGAATTAAATAAAGGTTCTGATAGATGACTGTGACAAAGAAGAAAGACTATCTAAAAAGTGAGCAGGAATTTAGTGGACAACAGCCAGAACTAGGATCTTATGTTCTAATAAGTTTTATAAGGCAAATGTGTGCTCACCAGTGATATCGATAGGTTCCAAAGCAAAGGCCTCTTCCTCATTTGGAACAAGTGTTGTTTGATCAGTCATAGTTGGCATTGGTTCGACAGGATCCACTGAATCAGGACTATCAGGTCCACCACCCACTATAAAAACCAATTTGGACACAAAAGGCTTGGTTATTTAACATATACCCTACAGATGGGAAAAGAATTCCTCTGAAAAAGCTGGAAAAAAAAGAAACCCATTGGTTCCAAGAAATAAGTTTTCTAGATCCAAGAAAGTCCCTCCAAACCAAACCATGTGATTATGTCACACTTTGAAGTCTTATCTTTGGCCAAAAAAGGGTTGGGGCACAGGGTTAAACATCTAAAAGACCCAGAACTAGTGATTAATCAAAAGCACTGTTTTTAAGATTTACAAGTTTGTTCATTAAAAGCTTGAATATTTTCAGTGTGTGGTCTTTATGTTAAATATCTCTCTGGATATCATACAATCATGCATAGGACACTAAACATGAAATGCTTACTTGACACATTATCATCATCCATATCATCATGTGCAGGCTGTTCTGGCAACATAACCCCAGTCTCCGAAAGGGCAGGAGGATCATCAAAGATACCGCCATCATTATTACTAATGAGTTTGTCATCTGAAATAGGGAATATAATTTAAACTTTATTTAAAAAATGCTAAAAGAATATTCAATCACTGGGAAAATACAATTATGTTAAAGTGGATTAAACTTAAAAACTCAATTTGCATCTGTTTCTCTTCAGGATAGTGTATGCAAGTATAAAACATTTAGTATATAAAAATATCTCTCATTCCTTATATTCTCTAGTTCTTATCTCTATTTAAAATATACTTACTTAACACAGGTATCATACACAAATAGAGCAGTTTTAAGAACTAGTAAAATTTGAACATTTACTGAGCCAATGGTCAGAATTCACACATGTATGCCTAGAGTTACTCAAGACACAGAATTAGCAATAGTTCTAACATAAAGAAATTAGAATAAACACTCTGACCTACCTAATATGCCACCATCATTTCCTTCTCCAAAGTTGTCATCCTTGTATTGGTCTTCATATTCTAAATGGTTAATTTTCTCATTCAGATTGCTGGTGCTCTGCTCAGGCTCTAACAGGAGGTTAGAAGCACTAGTGCTTACTAGCATGTCATCATCCTCAAAAGCACTGCCTTCTCGCATTATCTCACGGTCATCCATTCCAAAGTCACCTGAATAAATTTTAGTTAGTCATTAACTGAAAAAAGTAAGAAAAATGACTGATACAAAATAAAAAAGGTTATTGATTTATAATGATGATGTCACATTTGCTTATTGAAGTCTTGCTTATCTTTGATAACGTTAAAGTTTAAATCTTTAACATCTGTACCTCATAAGCTGAATCTGAGGCAAGATAGGTTATCCTAAATATGTTAACTTTGAATTTACCAAAGTTTGGATCTTAAGTAAATCTAAACAGGTATGCCTATTAGGTGGCATTAACATTCATAGACAAACTTGGTATAATATGTTTGGGTTTTTTTTTGTTTTTGTTTTTAAATATGTTATTGATTTTTCAGAGAGAAGAAGGGAGAGGGATAGTTTGAAACATCGATGAGAGCGAATCATCGATCAGCTGCCTCTTGCACACCCCCTTCTGGGGATGTGCCCGCAACCAAGATACATGCCCTTGACCGGAATCGAACCCAGGACCCTTCAGTCCACAGGCTAACGCTTTATCTACTGAGCCAAACCTGTTTCGGCTGTTATAATAGGTTTTAATCAAGAATTTGGCCCTAACCGGTTTGGCTCAGTAGATAGAGCGTCAGCCTGAAGGGTCCCAGGTTTGATTCTGATCAAGGGCATGTACCTTGGTTGCTAGCACATCCCCTATAGGAGGTGTGCAGGAGGCAGCTGATCGATGTTTCTAACTCTCTGTTCCTCTCTGTAAAAAATCAATAAAATATATTTAAAAAGAAAAAAAGAATTTGGCTTGCTACAAGTTTTGAATAGTGAACTTCAATAGAATGCACAATGCAACTGGTTCCAACATAGGTAGTTTAAAAGTGCTCATCACTTCAACACTGAGACTTTTCACACAAATCAATATACAGGTTTTATCATTTTGTATGGGAAGTAGGAGTAGGCAAAGAATGAATTCTAAGTTTTGTGCATAAATGGAAGCAATGCTTAATATACTGGAAGGCAAATTTTTTCCTAATAAAAACAGGTGAGATGAAATTCTAAGTGATTCTGTCATTGTGAATGTAATAAATGCCTGGTTTTCTTTTTTAAATTGCTAGCAGTATCCAACAAATTGTAAAATTGTAGCTAGTGACTAGTGATTTCTCCATTACCAAAATCATTTTCTTGTAGGATACTGATGTTCCCAACTTCTTCTCTCATGGTTATCTCTTCCACTCTACTCTGGTTCAGGCTGAACTGCTGGGCCACATCAATGTCACTATAAAAAAATTTCAAATACACTTCAGTCAAGTCTTATCATAACATACAGTAATACATGGAGGCCAAAAATCTGAATGATATACAAATTAAAGTTTCCTGGCATTTCTGAGACCTGTTTCTTCTTCTCACAAGTATCCTTCATACTGTTTTAAGATATTAAATAAATTATTTTAAAAAAACCACCACGAAACTCACAAAATGTTAAACACCAGTCAGCAGTATCATTGGCCAAATTCAGAATGTAAATAATTCAAAACACATAATTGGGTTAGTTTAACAATTAAATGGCAAGGAAAAATGAGAGATGTAGAGGGTTAAATTGAGAGACTATGAGACACATCAACCAAGTAAAGTATGCAGATTGTGTACAGACCTAACTCAATAAAGCTAGAAAAAAAAGGCCGTGTGTGTCAACTGGGACATTTGAACGCTGATTGGGCATACAGTAAGGAATTACGTTAAGTTTTCTAAAGTATGATATTAAAACAGATATGTTTTTAAAATTTATTTCCAAAGAGATACATATTGAATTATTTACAGTATTTAATAAGATATGTGTTATTTGCTTTAAGATAATTAATTCAGTGGGGACTGGAGGATGAGTTGGAAAAACACATATCAAATAAAAGTGGCATATAGATAATTAAAACTGGATAATCAGTACATGTAGTTCACAATACTGGCCTGCCTACTTTTAGCTATGCTAAGAAATTTCCATGATAAAAATAAAAAATCTATATATATATGAAAGCCAAGTGACTGGAATGCCAGAATGAATGGTTGCTTTGATGCACACTGTGACCCTGATCACCTCTCATCCCCAATCGAGGGTGGAGTCGACTGGCCAACTGCCCACAGCCCTCCCCTCCCCCCAATCAGCCCAGCCCGATCAGCCCTAATGGGAGTAGGCTGGCTGAATCCCATCCATGTACAAATTTGTGCACTGGGCCTCTAGTACAAGTATAAGAGGAAACAAACAAAGCAGGTAGATGATGATAATGCCTTCCTAGCACTAATTAACTCACTAAGAAATAAAAATAGCTCAAATTTCATTAGGAGTCATAGATATTTTAAAAAGCAGAGAAATTTGTCAAAAGATAAATGGGACTTGGTATAGAGGGTTTCTTGGTCGTCAATTGTAGTAATCTTCCAGTCACAATATGTGTCATGGTTGTGGTAGCTGGATTTTGAGGACTTAAGAAGGGAAACAGTATACTACAGTATTCTGCTATAATGGTCATCTCTGTACAACTTTCTCCTCTTAAATGTGCTGGGACAATGACCCTTTCATGCTATTCATAGAAAGTTATCTCCTATGTTTATTAAAATAAAATACAAAAATTATGGCTGAGTATAGCTTGGCAAAACAAACCAAAACTTACTATCGATAGATGACTTTAATATATTCCCTGAAGAGGCCGGGACCGGTTTGACTCAATGGATAGAGCGTCGGCTTGGGGACTGAAGGGTCCCGGGTTCGATTCCGGTCAAGGGCATGTGCCTTGGTTGCGGGCATATCCCCAGTAGGGGGTGTGCAAGAGGCAGCTGATCGATGACTCTCTCTCATCGATGTTTCTAACTCTCTATCTCTCTCCCTTCCTCTCTGTATAAAATCAATAAAATATATTTTTTAAAAAATATTCCCTGAAGAAAAATCATGAAGCAATAGTTCAAGTTTGCTGGTATGATGTCAAACATATACCTAGAAAACTGTTCTGTTTATATAAGCTCTGGCCTAATCACATGAGAATTCTCATATCTTACCTGTGTTAAAGTTGGTATCTTCTACACTACTTTCTTATAGAAGCACTTTTAGGTTATATTTAGAAATACGTAAATATACTTCCATTTAGGCTACCCTATCTTTAATGAAAGAGTATATATTTTAGCTAAATATTAATTCAATGTCAAAACATTCTCAAGGAAAACTGTTCATTTAGAAGCCAATAACGTGTTTTCTTGTAGACCAAGTCAACAATTTAAAAAAAAAAAAAAAAAAAAAAAAAAGACATACTCTAAATCAGGCAAGGGCTGATCAAAGTCATGAAATTCTTCAGGTAAAGTAATGGCATTGTAGGCAGCTTCTCGATTTTCTTCAGGCAGGTCAACAACACCTGGAAAAGAGATGGGAAGCTTCAAAGTCTGTCTACACAAGATTATCCAGGGATCCAAGAAAGGTAAAGTGGGTATAATTTCCCAAGGTTGTATTCTAGAAGGTAAATAACATATGTAAAGTACCTTATTTCTGTTTTTCTATAATCATAAGCCATACTACTCCCTTTACAAAAAAGTCAAAGCACTATTATGCATGAAGCTAGTAAGTCTTTAAAAGAATATAGATAAGCATAAAATTTATGAGGAAAACAAGGAATTACTGCAAACCAATCAGTCCCACAAATGTTAAGAGAAGTTGGTGTTTTAAGGAAAGTGAGATAAGATTTAAGTTTTTAAAATATTTCCCAAGCTGTCTGTAATAAATATACATTGCTTTCAAGACAAAAATAAAACAAAAAAATCAAGTTATTTAAACAAAATTCCCTTATTAGGTATGTGTTAGAAATCATCCAAGTATCACAGCCTCTGCCCTAAAAATTAAATATTTACTTTTCAAATAAAATCTCAGATCTTAAACATTTCACTATTCATACAGTAAAGTAAATTCAAGTACCAGAAGATAATCTTAGTAGAAAATACCGTATAAGGCATCTCTTTCATACATTCAGATTACTTTAATTAGAATAACATTTCACCAATGTTTTAAAAATTATTTGGGAAAAATTAAAATCCTCAACTTCCTTTTCTGAGCTCTATATGTAAATAAATAAATAAATAAATAAATAAATACATGGTTTTCAACAGTTTAACTTCTCATGACTGTGTCTGCAAAGGGGCTAAAAGGAGGCAGCTCCAAGGGGTGATTGTCATAATCACATGGTAGAAGAGTAAAGTGGGTTTCCTCTCTCAAACCACTCTCTCCCAGCCTTGCTGTACTGGGAAGAGCCCTTTGTGTTGAAATCAAAATAAAACAGGACATGCTGAGATAGAAAGTTTTGTGTGTGTGTGTGTGTGTTTTTAAGCATTTTTTCACACCAAACATGAGAAAATCCAATATTTAAAAATAAAAAAAGTCAACAATACCTGGCCGAAAAGCCATCTTTATCTTAATGAATGCTTCATTACAGTCTGCAAGAAGATATTTGGCTTTTCTGTGATAGATTCGTACTACTCCCAGTAAGAGATGTCCTGATGTTCGGAGTGCCATCTTCACCTGTTAATAAAACATGCAGTTTTAACTTTATCTCTTTATATTTATCATTTGAAGTTACCTCAATCATCTCTATTTTACTTTTCACTGCTTTTACCTGTAAATTCCCCAAGTATCCCACAGGACAGACTGGCAGTAATTCATGAATTTAACAGACATGAGGATAGCTATGAAGCAGGCATTAAGTTACGGTGTTCCATGGATTGTTGCCATGAGCACATTAAGGAGCATGTGGTTCTTTTGACTGCCAATCCAGACCCATTGCTCCTTGGTGGCTCACTGAACTGATTTTGTTGGGAAGTAAAGGTCCCCAGCCTTGAAGGATGATTGTTCCATTCTTCTCTGCTAATGCCTGCTCTTACATTAGCAACCCAGTCCAGCCAGATTAATAAGTATGGAGTTATCTATATCAGAGAGATTCTAAGATTTTCCCATTATATTAGACGCCCCTCTCTTTCTCCTTTTCCTGCATTAGTGTAAACAGGTAGGATTTGGAGCTGCTTGCAGTCACCCTGTACTTGCGAGGCCAAAAGTATGAGGATACGAAGCCAACTAACTCAGAATAAATCCTTGGATAACATCATTGTACTGCTGAACCAATCCTATACCTTCCTATTTCTAAACTTCTAATTAAGTAAGGCTGTTCATTTTCTTATTGTTTAAGCCATTTTTCACTGTTTTTTGTTTTTTTTTTTTTGTTTGTTTTTTTTTTTAAAGTACCTGACTGGCAAGCATACTGATAAAAGATAATGGTACCTATCTTTTATTTCACACTCCTCAGCCTTTTTTTTTTTTTTTTTTAAGGTAGGTCTTGATCAATGGTTACGTGGGATGAGGTGCAGTGAATGGGAAAGAATGAGAGAAGTAAATACCCAATGTAAATGGATTCAAAATTCCTCTAGTTATACCAAAGAATTTTTTTGAGGGAATGAGACAACATGAATTCAAACTTCCCATATCATTTTCACATTCATATCATAAAACCTTAGCAAATTCTAAGGTTGCAAAGAATGCTAATCAACATTTGCTTAAATTATAATAAGGCAGTTTATCTTTATATTTTTTATCATTCATTTGAAGTTACCTCATAAAACGTTATTTATTAATATGTTTTTATTGATTCCAGAGAGGAAGGGAAAGGGAGAGATGGACACATCAATGATGAAAAAGAATCATCAATTGGCTGTCACCTGCACACCCCCCACTGGGGATTGAGCCCACAACCCAAGCATGTGCCCCTGACAGGAAGAGTTGAACCTGGGACACTTCACTCTGTAGGTCAACACTCTTTCCACTGAGCAACACCAGCAAGGGCTAAAACATGTTATTATTTTTAAGTTATATATACCCTCTTTATAGGATCTAGAAAATTATATTTATAATGACTTGCAGGCTATTTACAGCCACTTGACACGAGTTACAGCAAAAATTATGAAGTTTACTGCTATAAATTCTTAGGTGTCTAAAATTATAATAAATATGATAAAAATCCAGGGAAGTAGAAATACTTTATAATGTGGGCTGAGAAAATTAAAATTAATATTGACTGCACCTTCACCTAAAGAAAGGAAGTCAGAAAAAACCCAAAACCTTTGCTTGCCATTATCTTGTCCAGAATTAAGAATCTTTACAAGTGGTGTTTGGATAAAGGCTTTCTTTCTGGATAGTTTGGTTCAGAGTTTAGCTGCTAGCTCATGCTGAGTACAGGTATAATAAAGAACACGGGCTCTATCTATATGCGGGGAAATCTCTGCAGAAGTTGCCAGTGGCTGTTCCAACCCAGGGAAGGGAAGAGATATCACGCAGGTGCAGCTGAGCCATATGTCTGACACTTGCTCTAAGTAACCAGCAGTTTCAATTACACACCAAGAGTGAACATTAAAAACTCTGATACCACCACTTTACCCTGGGAAATATCTTTATATTCTATCACAATAAAGCAAAATCAATCAAATAAAAATCCAATTAGAAGTAGTTCTTAAAAGTGGGTTCATTCTTTCATCTATACTCTGAAATCTTTTAAAATTATTCTCGAACCTTATGTATGCCTTTCTATTTTGGCTGTTGGTCATACTATTAATATTTGTAGAGTCCCTAACGTGGTAAAAAGCACTCTGCACATACTATGAAAAAATTTATTGTCCTTTTAAGCCAAATATTTGAAGATTTTCCAGGGATCCAAGAAAAGTAAAGTGGGTATAACTTCCCAAGGTTATATTCTAGAAGGTAGATAACATATATAAAGTACCTTGAAACACAGTACTTTTGTTTTTCTATAATCATAAGCCATACTACTCCTTTTACAAAAAGTCAAAGCATGCTGTCTCATGCCCTCAATATTTGCTTATGCATATTACCCACAAATATCAAGTTAAAGAAAAGAGTTAAATTTCTCCTTTTCCATAAACTTACCTCAGTAAAGCATACCTATAAAAAAGTAAAAATCATACTCCCATACAATTTGACTGGCAAATGTGAACTGGTACAATCTCCACAAAGAACAAATTGTTAATGCCTATCAGAATTCTAAAATGTAGGTTTATCACCTGGCCTTTCAATTACATTCCTAAACATTAATCTTAAGGAAAGACTTACAGAGTGAACAAAGATTTAGGAAGCAATTAAATCGTTTCTTAAAAAGAGAAAAATAAAGATAATCTATAATTCTACCACCTAGAGAAATCTTTACTAGGATTTTGGTATGCCTTCTAGGTTTTTATGTATGCATATACTCATCATTTTCTGCTTTAAAATTCTTTAAAAAATATATACTTTTATTGATTTCAGAGAGGAAAAGAGAGGGAAAAAGAAACAGCAATGATGAGAGAGAATCATTGATCAGCTGCCTTCTGCATGTCCCCCATGGGAAATTGAACCCACAACCCAGGCATGTGCTCTGACTGAGGATAAAACCATGACCTCCTAGTTCATAGGTTGATGATGCTCAACCACTGAGCCTCGCCAACTGGGTAACATGATCATAATTTTTAATGGCTGCATTGCATTAAGATCAGAGGAATTAAAATTCAAAAATTCAGAAAGAAACAAGGATAATTTAAAAAGATTAATAAAATAAGTCAAATACAATCAAAACAATGAATTATAAGCCCATAATCCTTTATGTGGAATCTTAGGGGCCAGGTGTGTTTTGGAATTCAGAGCTTCTGAATATTATAAAGGTAAAGGCAGTGCATATGGTGCACACCAAGACATCCCAGGAGCATAAAGCAGCCTGCCACAATCATACAAGTTGGTATTTCTATAGTGAATTTATGAATATTAAAATTACCTTACTTAATTTTGGTCAAGTCTGTTTCTGTTTTTCTGTATTTAGGTTCTGTGGATGGAGACTATGACACTGCAATACAATCATTAAAATGATGGTAGAGCTAGGAACACAGCTTTTCCTGAATGCAGTTTTGTTACAAAACATATTAATATGTGCAGTATTTATTTACATGCATAAAAATGGAGAAAGATTATGTGTAAAATACATGCACAAGCGACAGTCTAGACGTCAAAATACTAACGATTTCTCTAGGTGGTAGGACTATTAGGTTACATATTCTCCTCTGTCAAGTTTTCATTCTAATAAAGTTTTGAAGTTAGTATTGTCTTGGATATAACATGAGAGAAATTTAAAGTCAATAAATTCTACTAGCTATAACTGTAAAACTAGCCAAAAATTCCACATGAAGGAAGACACTTTATAATTCACTCTAATTGCAAATACAAACTCTCACTTTCCTCATCTACAACATACATTTTCCCACACAACTTTTCTGAACAAGCCCCTGCAACATCCACAATTTAATCCTCTGAGAATACCTCACACCTATTTATTTAACACATAATGCCAGCATGTCCAAACTGCCAATTCTGAGAAGCTCCCAATGCTGGTCCAGACAGCTGTGATTTGGAATGTTTTCACAACAGGACAATTAGTGCATGTATGTATAAATACAAGAAATAAGAAAGGACCTTTAGAACACAGATATTATTATAGAAAATATGTACATAAAATACTTAAGGACTTCCCTTAGTTCGAGACTATTCTTCGTACATTTTAAACATCTTTCCTTTTTATGTTTTTATTGATTTCAGAGAGAGGAAGTGAAAGGAAAAGATAGAAAAATCAATAATCAAAGACAATTATCAATTGGCTGTCTCCTGCACACTACCTACTGGGGATCAAGCCTGCAACCTGGGCATAGGCCATGACCAGGAATTGAACTGTGACCTCCTGGTTCATGGGTCAAGGCACAACCACTGAGCAACACCAGCCAGGAATCCTTTGTACACTTTTGAAGTCAACATGTTTATACGTCAGTGAAATGCTAATGGTGAACTTATCGCTTGTGTTTTAAAGGTCCTTTTTGGCAACACTAAAACCTCATATTACTTTAAGTCAGTGTAAACGACTAATGAGTTTGCCCACCACTGTGCTAGTGGATAAAACAGATCTGCCCTTGCAACCTTTTCTAAGTAATGGGTTCTTATTTTGAATATTTTGTAAATTCTTCAATGAGGAGCACGCATGCATATAATTTAGTATAAAAACTTCTAGAAAGCCAAATACAAAATATTAGGGTACTGGTTAACTATAGGCAAATAAAAATATCTGCATGAGAATATCAAAATGGGAACTCTGGATAATCTATGGATTCTATTTGACTCCAATATACACAGATGCCTTATTCTATTTTACATATCAATGATCAACAAAAGGAATAAAAATATCAACATTACACATACCTTAGGTGAGATGATACTCTCCACGCTGCTTTCTAAATTACACTCAAACACATGGGCTTTGGTTAGCTTCTTATCCCAATGGGCCGCTAGCCAAATTTTGGCCAGAGGCCCTCTTTTACTGAGGACAAAATGTGCGTAAAACATTGTTCCGGTTGACTATGAAACAGGAGAAAATCTGAAAAGGAAAAAAAGTTCATATAAATACTCTAAAGAATTGAAATGTTTATCACAACATATAAGAAGTCTAAAAATAAAAGTTTTATTTTTTTAGAATGAGAACTTCACAGTATTGAATTTAGAATGCATCAAACATACACACACACAGCACAACCTAGTGCTTTACTTTAAGAGGGAAGAAAAAGACCCCCAAATAATAAAGCTGAAAGGGACAGAAGAGTCAAATTACACGCATGCCCTGCTGTCATCTTAAAGGTACTGCTTTCTTTTGAAGTGAAACTGTCATCAGAAAACTGTCATTTTTGAAGTTCCTTCAAAAGTGTTAACTCCATTCCTATTTTGATTATTGACTGTGGAGAACTTGCTTCTGACCAAAAACTGGAGAAACTTTTTCTTCACGGCAAGAAAAAGAATGTCCAAGGAGAAAAACACTCAGGCAGAAATATTAATCACTGGAGATTTTCATTGTTAGAACCCTATTAAAAAACTGAGATTCTCAGCTTTATACAATAATTTGTATCTCACAATGAGCACTGTGCTAAGCATTTTATATTCCACCAAACAAAGACAAATAGGTTGGCCCTCTGGTGAGTAGTTTAGAACAAATGAAGCTTAAAAAGGTAAAATATTATATCTATAGTTTTCTAAACTCAAGAACTTTGAAATAGTCTTAGCAAAAATACAAGTACTATGTTATTCACATATTTTTCTTTCAGCAAGCTAATGTATTAATATAAAAGAGAAAAAGGTAGCCCGAATATTCCAGCTTGGAGTGTATCAACTGTGTAAATAGATATTTCCCTTATATTATCTATTTTCCCCCATTCAGTGATTTATAAAAGTCTATTTGCCAAATGAATTTTTACCTTTTTCTAAAATGTCCACAAACAGAATAAGAAACATAAGTGATACTTTTGCAGAAATAAACTTAAGCACAATCACAACGCATGAAAAGTACTTCAAAACCAGGACACTGACACTGGTACAGCGTGTGCAATACTTCCTTGCCACATGTGTGGATTTATGTAACCATCACCTAAGCATAAGATACGAAGTTATTTCATCACCACAGAGCTCTCTCTGACACTATCCCTTGCCATCTCATTCCTTGCTTGGTGCCATTCCTAAGCCCTGACAACCACCATTCTCTTTTTCATCTCTAACGCTGTCATTTTGAAAATGTTGCAGAAATTGCATAGTATATGACTTTTTGAATGGCCTTTAGTTTGTTCCTTTTTATTGCTGAGTAGCATTCCATGGGATGGATATACTACAACTTACTTAGCAATTCATCTCTTGAAGGACATTTTGGTTGTCTCCAGTTTTCAGCTATTGCAAGTAAAAGTGCTATAAATATTTGTGTATCGAGACCCTTTGTGAGCTAAGTTTTCATTTCTCTGAGACAAGTGTCCTGAAGTGTGATTTCTGTCTAGCATGGGTAATTGTATGTCTATTTTTTAAAAGAAACTTCAATACAACTCCTTGCAAAATCTTACTGATATTTTTGTTATTGGAACTGATATAGATTTTTTTCTAAAATTATATGGAAAGGCAAAGGAACTAGAATAGCTAAAATTATTTTGAAAAAGAAGTATACCCAATTTCAAGACTTATTATATAGTCAACATTACAAGGGAGAGACAGATTAATGGGATAGAACAGAGAATCCAGAAATAGATCCATAAAAATAAGCCCAACTGGTTTTTCACAAAGCAGAAGCAATTCAAAAGAGGAAGAAAAGTATTTGCAACAAATGGTGCTTGAGTGATTGAATATCGTCCACAGGCAATTCCCCCCCTCCCGTTACCCCCCAAAAAATCTTGACCCAAACCTCATATTACATAACAATTAATTTAAAACAAACCACTTATACAAAACTATAAATTAAAAAAAAAATACTATAGGGAAAATCTTCGGTACCTAAAACTTGGCTAAGATTTTTTTAGATGACACCAAAAACATATCCCATTAAAAGAAAAAAAAAATGTGATAATCGGTTTTTAATCAAATAAACAATTTTGCTCTACAAAGGAGTTCACTAATGATGCAAAAATAAGATATAGTGAGAAAAATGTATTTGCAAACCCCATATAAGACAGGGACCAGTATCTAGAATATACAAAAACCTCTCAAAACCAATTAAAAAATGAACAAAAGAAATTTCACAGAAGAGGATATACTGATGGCAAATAAGAACAAGAAAAGATCCTCAACACCAATATTAGATTTCTCTGCACACCTATTACAAAAGCAAAAATAGAAGTTAATGTTAACACCAGTGCTGATGAGGATATAGAGAAGAACCTCTTGTTCACTGCCTAGTGTAAAATTTCTTTTGAATTAGCTTAAAAAAGATCCAGAGTAAGTTAACTAATTTTCTTGTTTTTACAAAGAGACTAAATTTTAAAATAACTTTGCTTACTGTACTTCCAATTAAAAATTGCACCCATTCTTTCCAATGATTTACAGAAAACACACATTAGTTAAATGCCTCACAGGCAAGAGATTTCATGCTTATCAACAATGTTTGGAAGAGTGGAGGTGCAAGCGTAATTTACTAGTAGTCAGATTTGCCTCATCTCCATTTTCCATCATAGCAAAGGTTCTGAAATTCTCCTTTGAACAGATGCTCTCAGGGGATCATTAATTCACCCTTGGAAATTTTTCTCAAAAGAAAAAAGTAAAACAGGTTTCATCAATTGCCTATGTTGTGAACTCTATTTCAAATGTAGTTAAGAAAATAACTAAGGAATAAGAATTCAGGTCAAATACTAAGGCAGAAGCACTAATAATACCTTAATAACACTCCTAGGTAGAAGCACTAATAATACATTTTTCAATTGATTCTAAAAAATAAATTTAAGTCTCGTGTGAAATGGCAGAAAATTGATATTTTAGAACACATTTAGGAATGCAACCCCCCCCCCCCCAGCATTTTCTAAAAGATCTTTTCAAAAAGCCAAAATCAAATTACAGGTCATGTATTTACAATGATGTTACAATATTTCATTCATCTGTTAGAAGCAAGGCGTCAGGACTGTGGTTTGTATAAATTCATATGGCCTCTCTGAAAGGCAATTTGGTGTATGTTATACCCCACTTGGCAATTTGCCATAATCAAAGACAGCTTCCTATGTTGCAAATTAATGCTTCTACTTGAAGCCTTAAAGTTTGTTAGCACAAAAATTAAGTTCCTGTACAGCATTTTGTAGCAATCCAATATGGCAGGGTGTTCTTAGGAATAGTCACTATCATACAAGTCCCATGTTCACTACACATGACAATTATGCTCCAAATAAAAATTTTAATATTTGGCTCCTAGAATACTGCCTGCCGAATGACAACTACTAAATATGTGCTTAATGAATAAGGAAATGAGATACACCAAATGATCTAACAGTTGACATATGTAAATAATTCTGGAGATTTCAGAAATTAAAACTACTGGCACTACTCAACAGGTGTCAGTAGTTCATGGCCAGCACTTTAGCTGCTAGTTAAGAGTACCAAGCCTAAAATATCCCAGCTATGCAGAGACAGAGATTCCAAAACAGATGCTTTCTTGGCATGGGATTTTTTTTGGGGGGTGGAGGGGAGGAGTGAGTGGGAGAGTGAAGGTGAGTAACTAAAGCAGAGTGCAGCTAAAGTTATTTTGGGAAACAATTAGTAAGAGGAAAGCACCCTAATAAGTAAAGGAAGCCTGAGGTATGTGGTGGATCAACTATTGGCTTATATCTAAAAAAGGAGAAAGTGTAATCAATGTTGCCTTTTAAACCAGAAATTGTACTGCCAGCAATAGTGCCAAAGATATACATCGAGATGAGTAACAATAACGAATTTTTCAAATTTTAGTAAAGCTCTAAGTATTTTATGTATCCTCTTTACAACAACCCTATAAAATAAATTGATACTGGCCCATTTTGCAGTCCATAAAACAAAGAAAAGGAGATGATACTAAGTAATGTGCCAAAGGTCACTAGTTTAAGGTAAGTAGGACTTGAACTTCAGAACCCACATCTCTAAATGTAACATTATGTTGCCTTGCCAGCATGACTTTTAACAGCAGAAGATTAGAAATACAGTAACCTGCCCGGGCAGTAATAACAGACTTCTAACAAATGAATACAGCCTTAAATAATGATAATGCATGTATTAAAAAGAGGGCTCTCTATGTAAATTACCTGCACTTGCATAAACAGGACATATCTGTTGTGCAAATGAAAGTGATGACACTGGTCACCTCTGGAAAGTGGGTCTGCTGGGAAATCGAGGCCGACCCTTCTGTACTATATTTAAACCTTGGAACATACACATACATCGCCTTTTCAAAGTAAAATTACATTGGGAGTCAAGACCACTCCATTAACTAGCAAGTTAAGCTGCTTATCTGCGTAGTTCACTTTCCTTAACTATAAAAACCTGGAAGGTTGAAATTTAGTGGTTTACCACCTGTGGAAAATATCCATCCCTAGGATAAGAATGGAACTATCTCTTTGGGGTGTAGGAGAGGCTAGAGGAGTGTTTCAGGGACAGAAGGTATTTCCAATCTGCACACTACATACAGAGCATTCTCTGAGCAAGAGTTTTACAATCCATTCTCAGTTCAAATTCAGCTCACTCCTTAGTTGTTTTATAATGGTTAGAATCTCAGCTTTCTCATCTATAAAATGGGGGACATATTTACAAAACTGGATTATGAGCATACCTAAGCACCGTCAATGAAAATAATTTTTTTAAAAAAAAATCACACATGATCATGCCTAACAATTTTGACATTACATTTAAACAAAATCAGTTGTTTCTCTTTTGTACCAAACTACAAAGATAAAATTTCTCATGAGTAGGAATTTACCAGGAAAGAAATTCTCAACTTTAAGAATACTTTAAACATATATACCACTCTAAATGGAGAACGTAATTCTAGAGTATGTGAATGCGTTGCCTTTACAGACACACACACACACACA